AGGAGGATCTAGCCATCAATCCCGTATTTTCGCAGGCATGCCCATAGACTGTTGCTGGATCTGATCATAGGATTTCTCTAGGTCAAAAAGTGCATATTCTTCGGATGAACGAACTTCCACAATTTCCCAAAAATTTGGCTTGAGGCGAATATCTTGCCATAGGTGCCTCTGCCAAACCTGAAGCAACACTGCTTATCTTATATCGTAAAATAAGATATTTCACGGCATCTCTTTTCTAGCATTATTGCGTAGGCCTTAGCCGGGAAAGTCGATAACGTAGTGCCACGATAATTAGAGCACTCTCTGTGGTCTCTATTTTTGAACAGCGGTATTAACCTCCGTTCTCCTGTTCATTGTTGTCTTCCTCCCAGCAGTAGCAGTTTGACAGACATGTATAAGCTACTCCATGCCTTGTTCATTTATTGTTTTTAGCATTTCAAGGCTGATTTCATCTACAGAAATGCTAATATCAGTTTCTTGGTGCTCTTTTTGTGAGTCTTCCTGTGGTTGCTCTGGCTTGAGGAATTCCTCAAAGTACTCTCTCCAACGTCTAAATCTAAATATGTCCTTATCCTCGGTAAGAGGACGTCTAGACTAGCTCCTTAGGGACTCTTAGACTGTCGTTTTTTCCGCCACAGAGCCGATGGATGGTCTGCCAGAATACCTTATTGGCCGTCTGGAAATTCGACTCCAGTACAGCACCTCACTGACCTTCTCCCAAGAATCAGCTTTCCCTTTTGCCACTACTTTCCGTGCCACTTTTTGCGCTTCTTCGTACTGCATGCGAGTTGAAACCTCTTTGTTGCCAAACTATCTCTTGAATGCAACCTTCTTCTCAGTGATAGCTAGTTGTGCCTCTCGCGTCCACCAGGAAGTCCGTTTCTGACCTCCAGGGGGCAGGCCAACCCGTTTAAATCCGCAGCATTCAGCAGCAGCCTCGAGTATGCCGCTCTTAAAGTGCTGCCACTCAGTTTCAACATCAGTTGTCATCACTGAGATCTGTTCAAACCATCGTACGATGTTGCTTGCAAATTTCGCTCTCGTGTCCACCGAAGATAATGGCATATTTGGCGACTACGACGAGTGAGTTCCGTCGGGGTTTGGTTGCTGCATTCCCTCTATGATGGATATGCTGCCTCATAGTGAGAGTTCAGCGTTTTACGGGAGGAAATTCCTTAACTTAAGGAACTTATCACCATTATCAAAGTCCAAGCAACCGTTCGACAACAACATTCATTGAGTCAAAAAAAGAACCTGCTTAGCCGGTTGGCACGATATCTTAGATTTATTTATGCGTAAATGTCGGGTGCAATGAAGATCATATTTTTTGTTACACGCGGATTAGCCTTTGCTAAAGGTTTCTATGATTTGTCATAGTCTACTGTGTCTGGAGCCGGTGGTCAATTCAAAAAGAAATTTCTGGAGCGACGTTATATTATGTTTCAGTTGTTTAAGCTGTGTTATCAGGTCATGCCAATCGATTGACTTTTTCTAACACTGTCTCAAACTAATGATCTTCTTCAAAACCGAAGCTTAACATTGTTATCATGTAAAGCGTTTACTGAAAAGCGGCGTAAAACAGTTAATTAATACACAGCCCAAAGGATAATATGGTCATTCAGATGACTGACCATAATATTCTTTGCACTGTGTATTAATAAACCATGTTTATGATGTTATTCTTTATAGTCACCAAAGCATGATCGAAATTTTCTTTGGCGTTATTGTACTTTTATACTGTACATAGTTTCCGCTGCGTCCTTACGACTTTTCGTTTTTCGTTTTAATGCTTAATTTATAGCCACCAATCAACTGCATACGTTCGTTTGCAAGAAAGAAGTGTCTGCTCGCTTCATTCGCGTTTCTACAGAACGGGCTTTCAAACTTTGCGAGGTTTCCGTCTTTTCCAGATACACAAGTACGGATCATATCAAATTCATAATCTCCGTAATAACCGTTTTTAAGCTTCCCCTGTCCAATGTGGTACAATCCCTTCGATGGACACTTGGTCTTACTTTCGCGGTCTGTGCTTTTTTGGGAGTCAAACCGTTTTGCCATGGGACAGCGCCGGTTCTCAGTGTCTTATTAACCAGGCTCTGTTAGCCAATCAAGTTGACTGGCCCTTACAGTACTTTCTGACTGTATATCTGAACAACAAAGCTCCTCGAGAAGCTCAAAATTACTGGATCGGTTTGAGCACCGATGTCAACAAAGACTGGAAGTGGACAGATGGTATCGGCAGCTACGCTTTATAGAGTCTGAAGATTTGTTATGGTTTGTTTTCAGGTTCGATGCCGACTGCACAGTTTTGGGCTACTCAGCTGTTAAGAAACGTTAACGAATCTGCATCTGCTTCTGCCGCTATGGCGAGACTTTACAACTGGAGGTGGATTCCGTCCAGACAGACTGCTTGGTTTAACTGGATATGTCAGCGAAGTAATTTTCAGGGATGCCCATTTTCAGTTTGACTAATGTGCGAGTCTTTTCAAGCGTCATCATAACAGTGATTGGTTTTTAATACAGTGAATGCTTTTTTGCACAAAGAAACTGACTTGAACAGCCACAAACCTGAACATATGCATGCCTACCATCATATAAGCACCTAGAGTTTTGAACAAGTTAGATGTGTATAGTAATTACAGTAAATGGTAAAAGGCGGCCCGTTGGCTATACGAAGGGCAAAGCTTTTGTCCTCTCGGCTGCTGTCGATTAATCCATGATTGATGAAGGATACTGCAGGTAAATGATAACAGGCGATGAAACGATTAAGGATAAGTGATAACAAGTGATGAAGGATACCGAGGACTTGTGATCTAAATTCGGCGAATTAGAGTTGTTCCTTATAACTAACACTAAAGAACGAGTTGCGGCAAGATTGTCTTAGAGTGAATGTTCAGCAGCAAGAATCTTCTTGATAGTACCGTTTATGACTCGTGTTGCCATCTGTCTAGTGAAAAAGTTTGATCTAAGACACTTTTGTACACAACGAAGTGTCTGGTTATAGCTGAATCTTGACCCAAAGCACTAGAGAAAGGAATTTTTCATGCCTGAATGCTGCTGAAACGCTTCAGTCAGAATGTAATTATTAATATGTCAGTTTTGCAGTAGTATATGAAGAG